TGGGTAAGGCTTGCTTGATGAAGTTGAGGCGAATAAATCAGTGTAATAGGGCTGGGCAAGCCCGTAGCATGAGCCAATGGTCCAGGTATTCCTACCGGAGTAACAGGTGTAATAGAACCTGGCGTGGCAGGAACACGTTCTCTAAGCAACGAATCAATCGGTGAGTACGCTGCATCATGTTGAACAATTGCCAGTCCATCACTCGGCAAATGACTTCCACCTGTTGGCATTAATGGAGGAAACTCTTGTTCACCTGCACCTTCCGTTGCCAAAGTAATATCTGAGATACCTGTTGGCACGGGTTCAGTGGTGTCCCCCATTTCGGTGTAACCTGCAGGATTTCAGGAGCACCCTGGAAGCTATGGCTCGGCTTGGCTACGGCTGATAACCTATAGTTAGTGCACGAAAGCACCAAATCGTACACACTTTTTGTCTTGAGCCAATGCAACGAAATGTCCGTAGTCATACGTACAAAGAGCGATAAAACACAGTACAATATTCGGGTCAATTTGGGGTCGATAGGGAGCTGGTTATCACAGCTACCGCTTGATGTCTTCTAGCTGACTGAAGTTGTAAATTAAATGTTAAATATCGGGGTCAGATTCTGGGTGGTACTAAGCCTACTGTGGATGGCCTTAGGGCTGCTGTCAAGGCGAATATTACGGTCAGCATTGACATAACAGCGAATGACACGGATATGGTCAGGGTTGATGCTGTTTGGAAGCAGGAGTCAGCTAATGATCTTCGTCACTACGTTGGTACCTAGTACAGATTTAACCTGATTCTTTACATTTATGTGAATATATAGACACGTAAATGTACATACCGCATACGGGCAAGTCCGACAGCAAGTCTCACAATGAGAAAGGGGGCGCCATGTACTATATGTTGACCTAAACAAACAAATGCTGGTATTACCCCTAAAAATCGAAGGGCCGCCCTTTGGGGAACACCAGAGCGAAGACAGCAAGGATCGCGGTTCTTAATGGAATCCGTTTCGTGTAGTTTAATATTCGCATGAATATGACGGCAACTGTTGGTGCAAATGATTGTGCAGTGTTTAGCTTATATACATGTACTAATATTAACTGTTGCTAGAAATGGGGATGCCGTGGCTTTTAACTTCGGAGACTTGAATGGGAACCCACAGCTACATCTGGATGCACTAACTTGTTGATGAGGCCAATGGCCATCATGTGGGTTGCAGTTGAAGGAAGTATCCGGCACAAGGAACAGCTTATGGGCAATATTAAGCTTGCGAGTGAGGTCCATCTTGGGGGGGACGGCAATATCCTTACTGTCAGGGGCCAGGGGGCCAGTCTAGCTGATGTATGTGATTGTATTAACCTTGTTGCCGCTTTTCTCGAGCACTAGCCGATGCGGCGTGGTAGCAATGTTCCAAGAGTGCGTAGTTAGGGTCCACATATGATTTCCATCGATCAGGACTCGTATGGATTGCCTACCACAGTGGCGTGCTGTTTCATACAATGCATTATCGCTCGTGCAGACACGAAGACTACGGCACATATTGTCTGAACTACGTTGGAACTCTGTTGTGTGCATTCAGGGAACCCAAAGGCGCACAAACGAGCAAGTCGTTCAGTACACGATCCCGGGCTTCAACATCATTGAGTGGGGCTGTTCCACACACAGTGGCAAATCAGCGGGATTGGTTGTTGCAGTGCGCAACAAACTTTTCTCGTTCAAACACATGGTGCGAGTTTTTACACCACCCGAAGAATTCATTGGCCGTGCGGGGGCCATACGACTTAAGCGTGGTGATGCGGATTTTCTTGTTGTCAACGTGTATGCTCCTGTTAATCCGCATCTTCAGAAGGACAAGCAGTACATCATCAGGCTGTGGACATGGGTCGGGCATATCTTATCTCTTGCTCCGGCTCGGTGTGTGCCCGTATTATGCACAGATGCGAACGCTCGTTTTGGCCGTGGTCCGAGGGTTCCCAGTGTTGGCACTTTTGATGCGGTTGCTGAGAATTTCAATGGCGAGCAGCTGCGAGAATTGCTTACTGAACATCACATGGTCGCAACAAACACTTTCTTTCCCGCTGGTGACACATATTTTGGCAACTTCGGTCGTAACAGTCGGATTGATTATGTATGCATTCCGCAATCCATGTTACAAGCAGTGCAAAGGTGCAACGTCTTATATGCGCAGGGCAAACGGTTGCAGCTCATTCCAGCAGCTGGCAAGCGTGATCATATGCCGGTTCAGTGTGTTTTCAGGCACAGACTATTGATTGAAATTCGTGATTCAGCCTCGGTATGGGATAGAGATGCTTTGGCGCGAGGTGTTTTGCAGGGGTCAAACGAGAGCCGTTGTTGGCAGAGTGTGAAAAAGAATTGGGGAAAGTCGATGTATCTAGTTATGCCTGCTAGCCAGTCTCCTGATGCAATCTGGGGAGTGATCAATGCAGCGGTGTTACATGCGGCAAAGTCGTGTTATACTGTACAGCGCAAACACATCGACGACCCAGCAGATACACGTCAAGCACACGCAGACATGGTGTCACCTGGTCTCGTTGCCACAACCAGAACGCCTGGCATACGTGCACACAGATTCCATGTCAAGAGATTTCGTATCAGCCATATTCGCACAATGGCAGGCACTTATCAGGTACTGGCGGGCTCGGAAACAGCTGGATCTACTTGCGAAGAGAGATCGACACAATCGACTACAAACACAGCTTGATGAATTCAACTCGGCTTGGGGCAGACAGAATGTGGAGGCTTGCGCGGGAGCTTTCAAACAAACAGGTTGGGCCCAAAAGAAGAGTTTTCAACCGACCCGTATCACAACGACCTTCGGTCGATGATTGGGAGCGACACCTGGCGACACGGGGTTGTGACGGGGGCTGGGAAGCAGAGAGAATGTCAGAAGTCCCCACTAGGATTTCGACAGAACCACTTCACTCTGCTGAAGCCGTTGCAGGGGTTGCGGCGGAGGATTTTCGCGCACTTATTTCACAGGTACATCGGGCGAAGTTGCGCAGAGCAGTCCCACCATGGTCCGCACCAGCAGAGGTCTGGAGGCAACTGTTTCACCCGACCTACCACAGGAGTAAGCTCAAAAACGGGGGTGGGCTATGTTCCATTTGCGAAGCGCGCTCCTAGTTTCAAGTCCTGGATGTGGGTGCTCGTGTTATCCATTCGGCGTTGGGAGCAAACACCAGCAAAATGGCAACACAGCATGTCGTTTCAATTGGACAAACGCAAGGTTGTGATGGGATTCGATTGGTCAACTGTTTGGATCCATGCGGGAATGCTTTTTCTTCAGGCATTTCTGGCAGCAATGCGCACCTCAAGCTTCAGACATTATGCGGCGGGCTATTATTCACAGAAGTCTCGTTTGGAACCCATTTGTCAGCAACACATAATATGCGCTCGACTGCGCGACAAGCGCATATCGCATGCACGATCTTTTTATGATGTTCAGAATGCTTTTCCATCGCAATCTAGGGCAGCGATTTCGGAAGCACTTGACAACATTGCGAGGCCTCGGAACAGGAGGTTGTTGGAACAACGCCATTCGGAAGCTTTGGTGCGGGTGTCTGACGGTTGTGGTGAAGCGGATTTCAGACCGGGTAGTGGCACATTGCAGGGGGATGGCCCCTCAGCGCAATTATTTTGGGAACCATATCATCCACAGCTGGACAAGTGGGCAAATGATTTGGGTGTCTTTAGTGAGAGTAAAACCCTATATGCGACGTGTGAAGTTATCTATGGAACACTCGAGCAAGATCTGGCGATGTCGTCGTATGCGGATGATGTCAGTAGGGTTTCATTGGGACATAATCCGGAGGCCTTGCAGCAGACTTTGCAAGTCGCCAATGCCAGTCTGGACAGACAGTTGGTACAAAACATTGGCAAGCAGGAGCATGTGGTATTCTTCGGGGGAAAACACTCTCAGCAGCACTACCACACTGTTTATCAGGACTCATACTTGCCAGGATCTACGGTACAATCGGCCAGGTATTTGGGGGGACGTGCTCATTATGCTGGGAGGACACATGAAGAAGTTGCGCTACGCATTCAAGCAGCAAAGGTTGCTTGGGCTCGGATGGGGTCTTTTTGGTTCCGATCAGGGGCTAACACACGCAGTAAACTTCTGGTGTACAAGGCACTTGCGCAGTCAACTTTACTATCACTATCAGGTCTCGAAGTGTTGGTTCTGGAGAAGCAGAAATATCAGCAACTCGACGGGTTCATTTTGCGCACGGGACGGAAGTTGCTTCAAGGACGTGCTTGCAACAAGGACCTACAAAGTGATGGCAGCATACGGTATACAGCGTGTTCCTCAGAAGCAGTTTGGAAGATGTTGGGATTGTGCCCATCTCAGCTTGAGCTCCGAGTGCGAAGATTACGGTGGTACCAACAATTGGCCTCAAACATTAACAAACACATTTGTATTCTTATGGCCATGTTCGGCCGATTGGGGTTTGATGATGTCGACACTGTCGGTGCAGATGGTAAGATCAGATCTTCTGCAAATCCCTGGGCGCTTCAGTTTCAGGAAGATATGCAAGCACTGGAGGCGATTGATGACGGGCAATCTTTATTGGATCGTTTACATGGGTGCATGGTTCTTGTTTTCACACAATATTCCAGTGACTTTGTGGCTGTGGATGTGTCTGCATTACGGGGGACGTTTGCACCCAACTGCATTCCACCACCTGGGTGGGTTCCATCACCAGTGGAAGAAGTATTCGATGATGACGTTGACGATGTCGCGCATACATTCATTTGTGATTGTACACTCGCGGATGGAAGGCCATGTCAACAAGGTTTTCCGACAGCACAGGCTTTGGCGGTGCACAAAAGTTCGACGAAGGGTGGCACACACGACAACCTGTCCGATATCTCCAAGGTTTCGATTACAAACCAATGTCCATGGCGCAAGAATGTTTTCTCGTCGGTGCTATCGGCTAGAAACCATATTCGGAGAACGCTGGGAAGAGGTTTTTGTAGTGGTGCTGGCAGCCATGTCGTGTTTGAAGTCCAACAACCGGAGAGTTTGCAATGTCGCGTATGCGAAGTGTGCTTTGATTCTGTGGAAGACTTGTTGGATCATGTTTCCTCTCATGTTGTACTGCCGACTCCAAACGCAGCAGCACAGGGCCGCCAGCGAGCCGAGTAGCCGTGATATTGTCAGTGGGCGTGACATGACGTCTTCGTTGACCCCATGGGCGCAGACGCGGACTCCCCCAAGTTCGGACGGTGGTGTGAGCAAAAAGGTGGCTACCAGTAGCGACAAGTTCCTCATGAAGGGCATGCAGCTGTTGACAAAACTCTGTCTAAAGAATGCCATGGACGTCAGAGAGCTACAGGTGGCCACACTGCTCACGATTCAGATGCCCAAAGACTCCGATTTCATTGCTCATGTGATCACAGCAACTCGCAGTTACAATGATGAGCAGCTCAAGGCGAAATCTTCGGGAGGGCAAGCTCCGGTAGGCCAGCCGCATTGCCACGCATGGATTGCGATGCTTGAGACGCTGTTGCAACAAAATTCCGTTACAACCGCGGAGCGGGAAGCAGTGCAAAAGCATATACAGGACTATTGTGGCAGTCAAGCAATGGTGGTGGCCACTGTGGTTCACGTTTGCCGCGTCAAGAAATGCTTCGACCAGTCCAAGATGAAGGTGTGCATCGCGGTTAGCGACGATGTCCGGCCTGTTATGTCCATCCTGCAGAAACGTTTGCATGAGAAGGGTGGTAAAACTCTTCATGGCCAAGCTCCGAAGGGGGCCTCGAGCGAGACATCAGACGTATCTCGAGCAACTCAACGACATGCTTAAGTGATGATGGCATCGTCGTGTGAAGTAGTCTTGATGCTCTTGTGACGGGTTCGGCCCCGTTTCGCTCATGATGACTAGCATCATTTTTGACGGGTGAGGGGCAAGCCTTGTTACTATTGAGCCCGTGCTCTCTTGGATTCACCGAGGGAGCGCGATGTGTACTGTCAAGGCAACAGTCCTAGACAGGTTGGGCGGCAAACGCGCGGCCCTGACTCAGCTTACATGACCTCATGTGAACGCTGCCAGAGAGAGAGAGAGAGAGAGAGAGAGAGAGAGAGAGAGAGAGAGAGAGAGAGAGAGAGAGAGAGAGAGAGAGAGAGAGAGAGTATAAACCTTGTATTAACCTTCAGCTCGGCATGAGAGTTGATATGGGGATGTATACAAAATGTGGTTACAAGTCGAAATAACATGTTAATCCATACGAACTAAGACGTGCACCAGTTGTGGGTGAACATGAAGTGGCAGTTCTGCATGTTCAAACTCTGCTGTACCAAAAGAGCAGGCATCCGACCTAGGCAACACACTCTCTTTTGTGCTGCAACGGGCAACAGAGCGGTTCGCCGAAGGTGTTGTTCGTTTAAAGTCGAACCAGCCTTTCACGGGGCGGTTCGCTCCCTTCGGGCATTGGAAAAGCCTCTGCCGCCTTTATCTTATTTACAGCAGCACGTGTCATGCTAGAGTTCGAACCCTTAGGCCCGAAGTAGAAAGAGGGCGGGGGACAGGAAACCGCACGACGGACAAGTTTGTTCCGGATCCAAATGTCCACTCCGCTCTTGTGAGGCTTCGCCTCGACTCGCATCAAACGACTTGCTCACAAAGTGGGCGGATCGCCAGATCGCCCAACTGTACAACGGGGCCTTCGGCTCCTATTCCTGGCGGAATGCCTGTGCACAGGGCTTACTCCCGGGCGGCTCCTTTAAAGAGCTCTACGAAAAGTACCTCCCCAATCTCCCCACCGCTGACCGTCTGGCGGAATCGTCATCCGGTATCGCCTGCACTTCCCTCACTCTCAGGCGTGCGCCGAGGGATGGGCATCCGGAGGATCGTTGCCATGAATTGGGGGAACTGGCCGCCTGGCTTCATGAGCTTCCGGTGGATCGGGTTCGGGTGCGTGAGGTTCTTGCCGCCCAGCTGCGGTGGTACCGGATGGTGCCGAGGAGCTCGAAGCCGCCGCAGTCGATGTAGGGTTGGTTTGGGGCGGAACACCCGTCGCTGCTGGTGCTCTCGCCGACTTTCGGCTCTGCCGATTCAAAAGGTACGAGTAGAGGCGGTGCGCCCGGCCTAAGCTCATCATCGGTGGGAGCGTTCGCACCGTTTGCAAGGGGGTTGCTCGGGGCTGTAGCCACATTCCCCTGGGCAACCTGGTGTTGGACGGCGTGAAGGCGAGAGCGATGTCGCTGAAACGCTACCATCATGGTGACTCCAGCTGCGTGCTGGCCCGGTGCTGGCCCAGCTGGGTCACCCAGGTCGTCGATGTCCTTGCTGGCCTTTCAAGGCGTTTGAGGCCGGCGACAGCGGTAGCTCACCTTGCACAAGGTCAATTTCCACGACACCTCGATGAGACAACCGCAGGACGATCAAAGGCTTGCCACGCATGTAACTCGCAGCGAAGAGCTGCAGAACTCGGAAGTCCTTCTCGTGGTTGGGATGCAATCATGCACGTTACGCCGCACGAAAGCCTCGGCTGAGCTTATATGGGTTTCGGCATCTTTCAAGGGCTGGAAACCCAGACCCCTGGGAGGATCTAGAAAGTAGATCCCCTAATTTGGGGCCCTATACTACTAAGGGTACCCTTTGGATCCTCCCGGGGGTCTGGGAAGCTGGGCTACTGGACTCTCACATCTCCTTGCGGAGCTCTGCAGCCGACACCTGAACCGTTGAGATGTCTTTTGCGCGTGAGACATGGAGACACAGGCATTGCCGGGTTTCAATACCAGCACCAGAGGCGGTAGGGAGAAGGGGGAGCAAATCCTCCTAGCTTATCCTGCACATCCACTATGATGAGGGGTGGAACACCTTCCCGAAGTGGGTCTTGAAAGACGAGTTCCCAGGTCAGGGCTTCGAAACCTTCCCACCTAGATTCTCAAGGCAGATCTGAGCTTCCTCAGCAAGCTGAGGATGGCCATAGTCTGCAGCCTGTGCCAAGATGGAGGTGACGTCCGGTTGAGCCTTATAGAGAGGGCACCATTCATCAGGTGCGCCGCCACATGCGAATGAAGGTGGTCGCTGCAACCTTTCAACGGGTGAAGAACACCTGAAGCGAGCACCTGCTGATACAGCAAACGCCGCTGGGAGGACTCCTGGCTGGAAGACCGAACGTCAGTCGGCTCAGCCTCAGATGAGAAGCGAGCATGCCAGTCAAGGTCGGGTCCCTGTGCCAGATCACCTAGCTCCGCTTCCATCGCGGCAACCGGCCCCTGATAGTCTTCAGAAACAGACCAGCCAGCCTTATCCTTGGCCTTAGCCTTGGCTTTGGCTTTTCCCCATGCGGTGTCATGCGGTGTGATCTTGGAGGCATGCCCCTCTTTGGCCTGAGCCCGCAATTGAGCGATACGCCCATCCAGTTGACTTTAGGGCCGTTCCTCAACCCTCCTCGGCGGAGCACCTGCGTAGCCGGAGAGGTTAGTGTGCGTGCGGACAGGAGGTACGCTGACATCCGATGTGGCACGCAGCATCCCAGCAGATAGGCTGCTTTGGCTTTTGAGGAGCGTGAGCAATCGACCTCTTGACCTCCGTAGGGGTGAGCCGCTTCCCTGCAGGGTAGACTTTGGAACCTTCCCCTGCCTTGGGGTGCTCGGGCTTGAGGGCGAGCTTGGGTCCTTTACCGGCTTTGTCAGATTCTTCGGGCGGAGCGCCAGAGGGTGGATCAGCCTCGGTGGGTCCATGCAGCTGTTTTGCGCTGGTCTGGCTTTCGTTCCCTTGTCACGTGGTCGTGCAGTTGCTTGTTGAGCAGCCTGCCCATCGCCTTGTTCTGGTGGGGGAGGACCACCCTCTGGTAGTATCCAAGGGGCCTGTCAAATCCCAAACCCGTGGGAACTGAAAGTTAGGTAATCCATCAGCGCCGGGCGCCAATGCGAGTAACTTAATGTCCGGATCCTCCAACCGGGGATTCTCCGTGCCCAGCCTCGCGCACAATAGGCGTCGTTTTTCCCGGACCTCCTCGCACCAGACTGCGGTCATTTCCTCGAAGAGCTGCACGCAGTAAGTGAACGGGAAGGCATTCTCGTCTTCTTCGTGCACCTCCCGAAGAGCCTGCAGAAACTTCATGCGCTCCTGGACGTGCTCCAGACCGTATGCACTGCCGAACACCTTAACGGCATTCTCGGCGTGTCGCAGCCAAGTCAGAAAGGTACTAGGAGATTTGGCTCTGGATTCAATCTTGTGTTCAGTGGGCGGGGGGGTCCAATTCTCGATTTGTTCCACGCGCGCCGTGGCACAAATAGAGGCTTGAAGAGTAAACGACTCTGTACCACCCCACCAGAGGCCTCCAATGGCCAATGCAACGCGATTAGTGATCAAAATCGGCCACTTGATGAGTCCCAACTCGTGCTTAGCATGCAGCCCTGCCTGTTTGATGCTGTGAAGTGAAAGAATTCTTTTCCATACACGCCTTTGCAGAGCTCCACGGAGAGTTGGCCACAGCCCCGAGCGAGAAAGACGTCCAGTTTCTCCCCATCCTTCAGCGAACTGACCTGTCCCTTAGTGCCGGTTTTATCCTCGTCTTGAACCTTTCGAAGACCATCGATAGCGTGAATGATCCGGTCGGTAGCCAACGTGGTGGGGCCGGGGCCGAGCTGCTCTTCGAAGGAAGCCCCGGCCTTCCGCAACAGACCTGGTCTGCACCTGATGTTGTGGGGAACAATTCCCTGGCTCACCACGAAACCAGAACTGCTAGAGAGCCCTGGTGGAAAGGGTGGCGGGGGGAGAGGGGGGCCAAGCTCTGGGAGAGAGGATTTGGCCCATGAGAGCGGATCAGCTGAAAGGTCACCCTCTACCTTCGGGGTGTCGACGACCCCTAATACACTAAGTTGAACGACTTCAGGGCTGACCTTAAATGCGTTGGCGACCAGCGCAATAGCCTCGCTGACAGAAGTTCCTGAGGCTCTTGCATCCCGGAAGGAGTCAAGCAAAAGAATTGGGTCCACATCGGGTGGAACACCCTCTGACGCAACTTTTCCGGAGGTGCAACTTCAGAGATCCAGACAGTTGGTGGGCGAGGAGGGGTTCCTAAACTCGCTTTCCCGCGACTGCGGGGCTGTAAGGAGTACCCGACCCTCATCATGTCCAAGAATGACCATTTGGGGTTCGCCGAGCAGACGACGGGTTTCCTCGGGGCGGATACCGGTTGTCTGATCTCCTTCCCTTGACACCTTCTTTCCATCCCACTCACACAACCATTCCCAGGCCTGAGGGGCAAGCTGCACAGCTTGTACGGAAAGTCCGCGTGCTTCAAGTTCAGTAGGCGAGGAGTAAAGGAACTCCTGAAGCCAGGCCCTAGGGTAACGTCCACATGCATCAGTGTTGGGCGGTTCGCCAAGGCGGACAAGAAGAGGAGCTCCTGGCTTCGGGTGAGCGGAGCGCTCACTGCGCGTGGGGGGCTGATATTCAGAGGCCACCCCCGCATTTTGGGAGTTAGCTCCCGCAGGACTTTGTTCCGAAAAACGAACAGTGCGGGTGGATCCGGAATCTCTGTGTACGTCTGCGGACTGAAATCTACGGATAGAATGGAGGAGGGACTCCTCAGGCTTAGGGCCCGAACTCCGTGGGGCGATGCTTTTTGCACAGGGGAGTACCTTTGTGAGCCCCATGGACCTTGCTAAAACAGGAAACCACGCTGCCTTTCCTCCCCTGGCAAGACAGCATGTATAGTTGGCTGTGATGATTGCAAAGACGGGCGCATTCCTTACCACCATTCGAGAGCTGCAGGTCCTCGATTAGCAACCGAGTAGGTTCACTAGCAGCGCGGTCTCCCCTGCAACTCCAACCCAACCAAGACGGCCTCGCAAGGGTCGGCGATGGCCTCTGCCTCTGACTCAGAATCAGGATCCAAGACACGAGTGACTCCTCGATCTTGGATCTGGCGGGGCGCCTCAGTAGTTCTTCGGCAAGTGCAGCAGCGGCAGCAATGAAAAACTCGGCGGCGACAAGCACGAAGGCCGCGCCAGCAGAGAACCAGAACTCTCCAACTGCTTAGGCGTCCATAAGCGCCAAGGCCGATGACGGAGTCAGTGTCGATAGCGGCATAAGTTTTGCAGTGATAGATTCCTGTTGGCAATCCTCGGCTCGGCACAGATGAATCAGCGGGGCCCGCTCGATCGTCTCACGAAGGTTTCGGGCGGTGACGCCAATCCAAAGGCCGTGCCGATCAACACGTGTTCGGTGGGTCCAGTCAGGTTGGAGCCGAACTGCTCCACTTTCGAACCGAAGAGACCAAGTCGTGGGGTCGCCGCCCGGTACCGCGTCGTCTCACTTGCCTCTGGTAGTACTCGGTGTCCGCAGGAGTTGAACCGCCCGGCCCCACCAAGGAGACTGACGCGTCGTAGGCTTGGGGGGCTGGGGTTTCAGGAAGTCGTTGCAAGGCGGGATCCACCATAGCCCCTTGGGGCGGGCGTCTTCGCCTGCAGCAGCAATAGCCGCAGCATAAGCACCTCTCGCAAGTTCTGAGAGACCAAGCCAAAGCCGTCACCAGGAAGGTGAGAAGCACCAAAAGGGCGGTCCACCCAGCAGCTGGCCAGTATTGACCAAAGCAGAGCACCCCGATCTTTTCAATGAAGCAAAGAGCCCCCGTCCCCAAAGATCCCCGATGGTCAGGGGTTGAGAAAACGGGCACGATTGCCCAGCCAAAGAGCACCTTGAAATTCCATTCGCTCCACCAGGTAACATAGTCCCGGATGAGGTGTGCCCGTAGGGCGGGTCGCCCGAAGACGGACCGTCTGAGGGCAAAGGGTTCGTCTCAGTTAGGTTTCCCGGGGACGATGGCCACCATGGTAACCAACTCTCAACGAGAGTCGCGGCCACCAAACAGTGACCAGCGAGGGCGACCAACGAGCGAGCCATTATGGCAATGTCCTTGATACCAAACTTGAATTGAGCCGAAAAGTCTTGAGACAAACAACCGGCTCATTCACTTGCAGCACTCTATGTTATCGCTAACGAGCAAGACTACTGTCACCATTGGCGCCCATGTAAGGTCTAATGGCAGGGATAGTCTTAGGATATTGTTGTTTAGGAATAGGAGTCAGTCAATGCTCACGGTCATTCATACGTATTGCTGGGGCTCGGGTCTGAAACTGGGAGCTAATGCTCGTGCCCATATCGAGCTTCGGCTTCGGGTATTCCGACAGACATGACTTTCATCGTTGGGAGATCATACGTCAGAGTATCTGTGAGAAGGGTCACACCAATTGAGAATGAAGACGGCTGCCGATATACATATGCTGTCCCCTCCAAACTTCAAAATCTAACACTAAGCCTGGACCATACAATAGAAGCCTAAACCTACTGTAGGAGGATTGGTGGCGTTATCGCGGCACCTCCGCTGTAGTTCTTCGGGGGCGGGTTAGCATATATATATATATATATATATACACACATATTATATTCATGTAATATCTCTCTCTCTCTCTCTCTCTCCCTCGTCCGTTGCATCCAGAGGTGCATGCTATGAACGATTATATGAGATATTATGATATCGTATCGTAGGAGTAGTTTGTTTACACCATCAACACACACTCACACACTTTCTCTCTCTCTCTCTCTCTCTCTCTCCGCCTCCATCTCGCCGCCCTTGTCAGCCACCGCTGACCAAGAGCAAGCATCACAGTTCGATACTCTAGGAACCTTTCCGAAAGACAGACCGGAAACAAAAATCGGATGAATAGCATCCAAGTGACAATGTCCAGCTCGTTCGCTGGGCTGTCAGCAGAGAGAAGCGTAGATCCATAGAGCAAGCTCCGTAGCTGAGCAAGACTGACATGCCTGGCCATCCTTGGCAGGAAATAGAGTTTTGAGAACATGCGAGTCCAAAGCCAAGTCTGCGGCAATGATCCAAAACTCTGCGCCCTAATGCTGGCGCGAATTCGACTGCAGCGTTGTCCCGTCTGGCAGAATCAGGACGCAGCTGGCCTGGCAAGAGGCGCGACCTCGCAATGTACAGGACAGAAGGTAAGAAGCAATGACAATGAAGAAAGGAATGAAGACCTCCACGAGGCAGCAAGGGATCCAAGCAGGGAGGACAGTAAAGAAAGAAGCCGGCATGGCAATTCCCCACCCTGCAGCGACTTGGCACACAGTCTGTCCTGTGGCTGACATGCGATTGTCGGCAGAAACCCGCATTGTAATATCCTGCAATACAACCAAGTCCCGGAAGCCAATGCAAAGCGCTGCAAGCATTCCCCAACTGCCAACGAGAAAATTAGCAAGCAAAGAAAACGGACGATTGCCATGAAAGGTAAGGAACCGAACCTGAACCCTGAACCGGAACCGATTCCTGTGGAACTGCTGGAACCGCAGTGCCGGTTTCAAGAACGCGAACCGCCAACTCGGTTCTCGGCTTTGTGTTCAACAAGACAAACCGAAATCTGCACTCTCCCGCGCAGGAGTACCGCATTTAGCGTTTTCGACCCAACTGTGCCAACAACTCTACTCCCGCGCGTTCCTGGCCTCTTTGGCACATCCAAGCCCCCAAATGCTAAATTGTGTACTCCCGTGCGTCCCTCGCCCTGCAAGGACACGATGAAGCCGCCAAAAAAAAAGACCTAGCAGAGTCTGTGTTCCGGCGATGAAGAAGCGCCACGCGAGAGAGCCTCTTTCAACATTTCAGACCCAAATGTGCCACAAACTGTACTCTCGCGGGTCCACGGCAATTTTTGGGCTTCGCTAGGAACATACGGTGCTCCGCCAAACAAATACAGTATGCCACCGGAGATCCCCCAAACAGTGAAAGACCACACTAGAGGAATGCCATCATGACCGGGAGGTCACGACCGCCGGATTCTTGGGAGAACACAGGTCGCAATAAGTGAAAAATGTAGTACGTACGACGTAGTTACGTTAGTGTTACAGATTGCGCATGTCACGAAGCAATGATAAAGATTGCAATGGATATGCAATGAAACTATGGATCTGCCCAGTGCACCTCGCTAGAATGATCCTGATGATGATCCGAGGATCTAAGGACTTGGCCCGAAGGCATCAGGCTGACCTGCCGACTCAGCTCAAGCTTCCATGCAGCAAATGCATAAACGCCGGCACCTGGTTTGGGAGTTTAACTGCTCAGTTCTGCTGGCCTCGGCTTCGTCGCCATCGAGATTTCGAAAGTACCGAGGAGAGACACCGCCAAAGGTGGACGCGAGATCCGCAGCGTAAGCTGCTGAAAGATCTTCTCGCTGCTTCTGGTCAAGGGCCTTCGGAGATACTGTGAAGTTGTTAGCATCAGATTTGCGGAAAACCCTGCTTTTGCAAAAACCACATCTCGAACTACGACCGAGATCAGCAGAACATAGACCAAGCGTCAGCGCAGTCCAGATTGACGACCCTCAGCTTCCAGAACTAAAGCAAGCTCCTAGCAAGCGAGTCGATGGAATGCCCAAGTGGTGAGTGGTCCGAAAAGCGCGTATCACACTCGCATCACCGTGTGGAGCCATGTCAGCTCCAAGGAGCCGCCACGAAATAGATACAGAGGCACCTCAAGCCAAAGAGACCGGCTGAGCACTTGCCAAGATCTCTAATCTTGTGAGCCGCCAGGCCTGCACTGCAATCATCGCCACAAGCCACACACATGGCTTTGCCCCTGCACTGGGCGGCACATGGTAATGCTTCTTGTGATTTACTGGCTCGACCAGCTGACATGTCAGGAAGCTGCGGGCTCCCCATCGGGCTGTCAGTATATCGCTGAGTCCAGATTCTTTCAAGCTCACGCTGTTGGGCTATAGATGCATACACAGGCCATTTACATGAGATCCGTTGCACGCAAGACCTTTGAGGCAAGGATCACAGTGCCCGGCTGACGACTCCAGGTTCCAGCCTACAAGCATCTGCAAAGCATCTGCAAGCTCTGGGATACGAAAAAAGATACGCAGGGTATAGAAATCCCGGATCCCTGAGCCTCGCAGAGCTGACAAGTAGAGCTGCCGACGGAGGAACTGAAGTACCCAGGGCTGCAATAGCGACAAGCGGAAGCCCCGAGTTCATCGGAGTAGTTCCCCACGGCGCAAGGCAAGCAGCTGGAGATGCCAACCTGCAAACACATGTGAACTGTGTCTGAACACTAGGAAGAACTCATGTTTCCGGAATGTCCACCAAAGCAGAAGCGACACCAGACACCAGACATGTGGGCCTTGAATGCTGTTGCGCATAGAGTGAGATATTGGAACTTGACGACCACATCTTTGCACAGCTCTACTAGAATTGCACGAGCTGGGTAGTCTTCAAATCTTGATATGGGAGCGGGGATCGGCAAGCCCTAAGTGCTGAAAGGAGCGGGAAACACGAAAGCGGTAAAGGTGGATAATTCTAGGCCCCAAAACAATGGGGGAGTGGCAAAAAATAATTGGCCCCAAAGAGAAGGCAGACTGGAACGCAGTAAAACCACTAGCGAAAAGAAACTCAAAACCCGTTTGACGCTGAAATAAACGAGGAGTCTTAAACTATAAACTTTGTAAATTCTTGAGGAAGCCCCCGCGCGCATTCACTTGCATGCTGATCGTCGTGGTACAATGCTACGAACTACATGGAAAGCGACGAAGCAGATGATGATAGTGGTGATGATGGTACAAACGAAACGAGATGACGGTTTTGATGACAAGTATGCCAAACAAAGACTGTCACACAGAGCTGCCAATACATTAGATGATCCGTAAGTGGTTTAAGATGGCGGCCCAGCTGTGCCGGATGCTAGCGAACGACGCGGCACGACATGAAATGGAAGCTGCAGGAAGATTCTCGTCCCTCCAGCTGCCCACGACCGGACCCAGGAGCAGGTCCGGTCCCCACCCTTCCGAGCTCACCGGAGGATGACATGAACTTGGGACCATCCCGCAGATGGCGCACGCAAACACACGACACCCCGTGCAGGGTGGTGTGGTGCTGTGCCACCCCGTCAGCAGCGCAAAGGAACTTTTGCATCGGACAAGCCCACTCGCCACTCCTGCACTAATGTGGGATGCACATGCTCCGGCAACTGGAAGAAGGAATGTTAAAATGTCAGGAAGCGAATAAATGGACGCAAATGCGCTGCGCTTGAATTCAACTTGGAGAGTCCGGAAGCAAAGCAATGGTTCGCCTGCGCTTGCATTCGACAACAGAAGGGACTGCGCCCGCAATCATCTCAGAAAACACAATGCATTTGCACATGCCGAAATCATGCGAATCTACCGGTGCCGGCAGTGAGCGGCCGAATTGACGCTCTCGCGAAACAATTGACATATTGAGCGGAGCTGATCGGCAGTGCTCGCAGATCCTGCCAATCGGCATGAACACCGACCGCCCCCAACGAGGACGAACACAGGTGACGCGGCAGAAAGCCATGGCATCTTGAAACTTGATCATTATGGTGGCTAGCTTTGTGCCAGAAACTGCAATGAAGCTGATGATCCTGCTACGCGAAAATTGGAGATGGTGACAGTTGTTGTGCCAAGCATGCCACAGACGAGGGATGGCATCCAAAAAACAACGAAACGATCTGCAAGTGGTTAAGCAGTTCGACCCCACTGCACCAGAGAAAGGAATCAGATCCAAGCCTCTCTTCGGCATGTTCGCTCCCGAACTGCCGGAACTACCTCTGCTACCTTCACGATGAGGACGATTTGGCGTTCAAGGGTTTTGGGCTTGTGTTATCCCGACAAGGAGTGGGCGCTGTCCAAACAAAACTGGCAAGCCCAAAGCCGCTCCTTTGTCAAGCGGAAGACGGACAGCTTGAATGAGTCATGAAAAAGTCTATGGCACCCCTCTGCGGCCATGGAGCATCAAGCGCCATGAGCAGATGGAAAAATGGCTCCGGAGCTCACTCCGTTAGCATCCTGCACTGAAGCAGAAACTATATTATAACTGGACATCACGGCCAGTGGGGCGGACTCGTGGCACGCAAATGACCTCCATCCCGACCGGCAACACCTGTCCCATCACACGGCTGCCGGCCATGTGGAGAGTTGGCACACATTCATCCCAGTAGCAACTCAAGCAGTGGTGGGCACGGTGGAGATGCACAGACTAGTGGATACTGGGACTTCGGTCTCCGCTGCCTGGCTCAGAGCCACTGTGCTTTTCAGGATGGTGGTCATTGTATGGGCTCCAACTGAAGAAGCCGCTTGACGCCTCCGCCCCCAACCTGACGCCGAAAATGTCCCTGACCCGAATTCGGTGAACAGATAGACTGAAGCCTGCATTCAGCCTGACGCTGAGTATGTCACTGACCGAAAAACGGTGCTCATTTCACTGAAGGCTACATTTTGTCCACCCCCTTGACATGGGCGCTCAAGCTCTCGGGCAGGGAAATTCGCTCCAACCGGAATTGTGGCACTCGAGACGCTGCCACACGCTGCCGTTCAAGGTGAACAAGGGTTCTGACTTCAAACTACTGGGAGCAACATCATTGTTGAATTCCATCTTCGGAGTTGAGAAGGTGTCCAAAGCTCCGAAGAGCTCCTTTTTCTTGACAGCACCGTCCAAAACAACACCTGCGGCTGAATTGAATCCCTCCCCAAACTCCAAACTAGGTTATCGTGCTTTTCGCCTCGTCGTTTGACAAGGTATCAAGCGTGATCACCTAGAACAAGTATGGGGAACAACAGGCTTGGCTCTTGGTGGCTTGCAGCAGCTTACAACCCATCTACAGTTGCGTATTCCAAGATGTCCACAGGCCTCAAGAACAGGTGAACAACACCACAACTAGCTAGCTGGCACTAGTGCCGGATGGCTCATGTCCTTCAGAAGGCACCTCTGTCAAAAAACTATTTTTTTGTAATCGTTTTGTACACGCAGCTTGTCTCGAATTTTGAAGGCTTCATGTAGCACGTCTTGAAGTTTCAGTTTGCAGGTTTGCAGCCTGCACAAGAAAGATCAAGAAAGTGCGGTCTCCCAAACCTCGGTTTGCACAAGTGCAGCCTCTCAAGCCTCAGCGGGCCTCAGTTTGCACAAGTGCAGCCTCTAAAGCCTCAGCTTGCGCATCGCAATAGCAGTAGCAATATCAGTAAGAGCAGCAGCAGTAGCCGTACATTGTAGGGAGTAGTAGTCGTACATATATATATATATATATACTCGGACTGGTCAAATCATAGTACTCCTGTAACATACATTCAAACGTTATCGATTGATTTTACTTCTTATTATCGCTTTACAGGCTAAACCAGACGAGGAGCATCCTAGACTCCTAGACTAATCTACAAGGACCCCCCTTGTTGTGCAACCTCACCTGAACCACAACAGATCACATTCGCACAGACACAGACACACAAACATACAAACACACACACACACACACACACACGCACACACGCACAGACACACAAACACACAGACACACAAACACACAGACACAAACACACACACACACACACACACACACACACACACTGCACAGCAAACATGAAGCACAAAGGATGGATGGAGCCTAGGCATCCCTGATATTGAAATCGAAACTCTTACAAACTTTGAACTCTCAGAATGGAAGCTTGGACAGGTGGCGCACCGCAGTATCTGAAACCCAGAATTTTCACACGATGAACTTTATCAAGTGCTTTATAGTGCTTTCCTGGTTTGACATGCCCCTGCTTCCAATATCAAGGCTTTTACAAACCTCTAACTCCCAGGATGGAGCCTTGGACTGATGGGGCGTCCCTGGTTTGAGAATCAGAACTCCGATAGTAATATCGCAGCTTGACGAGAGCGAACAACGATGCCGGGGTAAGGTAGTGTAGAATGTTCGGGAAATCCCAAGCGAACGTGGAAGGCACACCTGAAGCCAATCAGAAAACGCAGAGCGCCATTTCTGCGGTGGTTATTGGCAGGTGCCCGGTAGCGATTAAAGCTATTCGTTTACTGGAGCAGCTGGCCACCAGACGACTTCGCTGAAATCCACTACACAATCCCTGTTCCGCAACCCATTCAGTTTCAATTTTGCGATCTGCACGAGCTTGGGCAACTCCCACTCCTTTACAGGTTTATGTTGACTTTACATATTCGGTGGTGCCATGCTCCAATCGGTTGTTGGGTTCTGGGTGCACTACCCGCGTTTCTCCCATCTTCTCTGAGGGTTGAGATTCGTTCCAGTCAGTATATGTATGAGGGTTTGAGAGCCATTTGGGCCGAATCTTTGGCTACAGTATGCTACAGTGCTCTAGACAGCAATGAACTTGTAATTGCCGTGTTACACCGGCTGATGGATGCGAAAACCGGCAAAAACTCTGCTCTTGCTCGGCCCAGTGTTGCTCCAGCCATACAAAAGACTTGAAACAAAGGGTCACGATATAGAGGAGAAAGTACCATCATCGGATGTTGCAGTGAGACATAGTGAGACGACATCAGTGCACTTTAAGGATTGACCTGAAATTGACCTGGCTATCTGGGCTTTCAGGTCGTGCGCAGGCGAAGACGAAATTCAGCGACGATGAAGACGAAACGGTTGGCAATTCGTTCGTGATTGTAATGATGCACCCGTGCACCCTAGCAGCTGCAAGAGAAGGGGTAGCACCATCGCGGCCTGAGTGAGGAGAGCGGGACCTCTCCACGTCTCTCGCTGAGACGCTGCAAAAGAAAATAGAAAACATGCTATCGTCATCAGTCGTCGAGGTGATCGCCGATTTTGGCAATCTCAATCCCCAGGCGGCACGCCGCAACTTGGCGTTGCGCTCTGATCACCACATTGCTGCCGGCACTGCGGGTAATCCATCCTGATTTGCTTGTGATGCGTGGCTGGCTGGCCCACCACGCGGGCGGGATGGAGTATTCACGGCCAAGCTGGCGTCGCAAATCGGCGAAGAGGGGGCATTCAGAGAAATAGTGCCTTGCAGAGGCGGTTCCATGGCCGCACCGACATGCAAGCTGCGCAGGAGCGCCTCGCTGCCAGTACCTTCGGGTCGGCGTTTTTATGGCGCCCCCGCGGAAAACACGGAGAAAGGCGGCCTCTTGGCCCTGCAAGCTTCGGCTCCACGCAGTGAAGGCCGGGTGGCTCTGAGCTTCAACGTCAACATCATCAGCTCCCTCGGAATGGGCACGCTTTTGTTTGATTCTCGAGAGAGCACG